TTTTCAGATGATTTGGCTCCTCAACAGATACCGACGTACATAACGGTCAATATGTAGTTTAGGTTTACCTGGCCCGTAGGTTACGAATGTGCCCGAGGAGGAAAAAAAAGCAAACTTAAGAAAATTTCTCGGGAACTTAAAAGTTCACCTCAAAACGAAATCTGCACCTATGTCCTGACCATAAAAGGAATTCAATTCCCGGTTAACATTTTTTTCGAGTTGATGGTTTCAACAGACTAAATCATAAATCTACATTGGATCGTCTCATTCCTCATCTCTTCTTCAATTTTCTGGAGATTATTGAAACAATTTCCAATAGCCCGCTAATTTTGTATTATACTTGGTGCAAAGGACATAAACTTTGTGTCAGCTAATTGTATTCTAGGCCCCCTATACTTCGTGCTTGTTGGTGTCAACTAAAGAAATATCGTGGGACCACCTTCGAAGCTCGACTTATTTGATTGTCACGTGCTGGAGGCTTACACGTCTGCAGGAGCCTTAGACGTCTACGATCAAGTCGATTAATAATAAACTGTTACAAGTCTCTAAATTAATATGTAAACAGCGGATTAGTGGTATTTTTAAGGAAGATATTGGTATGACTGTTAACATAACAGTTAACATAACAGTTATAAGATATTGGTATAACTGTTATTAAGATATAAGTTACTTTAACATCGGAACAGAGGGAGCCAGGAACCATGCTACCCTTTGTACCAGGGCCCATTGTGATAATTATTTTTAACTTGGGCTACTTAATTAATTTAGAAATGCTGGGTCTACAAGAGTATAACGTCTAGCTCTTTGCTTGTTCCTATTTTAAGTAAAGTACCCTGAGACTGCGAATCAAGAGACTTATCAAAGGAAAACAGTGATAAAACTTAAATGAATTAGGATCTGTTTGTGAAGCTGAGTGGTAATAGACCTGAGCCTTGACAATTCCTTTCAAATTAGAAATTAGTGTGTCTTTATAAGTACTGAATCCTTACAAGATATCGGTTTTGCTAGATAACAAATGATATCGTAGCAAAGTGTAGATATAATTTGCGGCTGATATCAGGTTGAGCCATGCGTCACCTCTCAGTTCTATTCGTTGAATTGGAAACGTACCTGTTTTATAGCTGTTACATCCAGTTCCACTTGTTAAATTAGTAATTGTCATACTTCCGGCTTTGTGTGGATTTTCTGATACATATTACATAGTTTCAAAAGTTGCACAGAAATATCGGTGAAGGAAACGTTGCATTTCATGTTGAAAGCAACAATGTCTACCGTTCTTTAAATTCTAGCAAGTACTTTATAGTTCTAAATTTGAGAATCATTTTAGTCTGAAATTAAATCTTAAAAGAAAGCATATCGGTAGCTCCTTTTGACAGGAACTCTCAAGTACTTCGTTTGTTGTTCGTCATGTAGAAATGGTGCCAAGTTTAGGATTCAAGAGTGGTCCAGATAGCCCCTCACTGCACCACAAGCCTCGCATACAGGCACAGTTTTATGTTTAGTAAGTTAGACACGCCATGATTCTGGTTCACATCTAATACTGAGAACTTTGGCTTTATTCCGAGTTTTAAAACCCACATTTTAAAGGTTTTCCTTTAAAAAACTACGCCCCACTGGCTCATTCATGTTGCATTATAACCATGTAAAATATATTTATCACGCAAAACTTCAGAACTGTCGTTGAGGTCATGGCAATAGAAATTTAATTTGAATTTAATTTGAATTTCTACCGATTTTTCGATATTTATTAAGTTATAGTCTCGTAGTCTTTCTCTTAACCCCGTTATTTAGTGCATTGCTTTCACTCGTTTTGAGTATGACTATAACCATATTAGGTATTAAGGAAACCATTCACGTCACAATTCCTTTAATTTCCTTTCTCCTTGTATCTATGTGCTGCTTAAACAGTTTATAATGATTTGAGTAACAACATTAATTGTATCACCTCTAACGTTCCCTTTGCCTCTGTTAAGCAGCAGTGTTGGTTCCCATGATTCCGATGAACAACAGCAGCAAGAGAAAGCGACAAGATCCTCCCCGGATAACACAAGATCCCCCCTTCAATTCCGGAGTAGAAGCCACCTACAAACTAGTCTGGTGGAAGAAAGTGCTGCATGCTATAAACGTGTGTCCCACAACTCTGGGAGAGGAGGGGTCTAAGAAGGTGCTGGCTCGTGAGAGGGGTGAGGGGTTCAAGTTGGAGCCTCCTGCTCCTATTGACTGTGATGTTTTCTACAACTTCATGCTCTCTGATACTAAGTTCGCTGCGGATAATGTCACCTCCTCGCTGCCTTTCCACCAGGTTTATTACTCGATGGAATGATGTGTTATCTATAACTTTTAATTTTAGAAAGATTATAAAGTACTTTAAGAGATATCAAATTGACGTGTTATTTAGTTAGCAGGCTAAGAATGAATGCGTATTTAACACGTACAGTTTCTACAAAAGAAGGGAAAGGAGGGGGTATGTCATACTTATGCAAATGAAGAGTCGCGGTTTTCCTAAAGTTGTGTGAATATTATAATAAGCGACTCCTTCAAATGCTCACATAGTTATTCGTGAAGATAATAATACTTAATTTTGCGTACGAAGAGGGAGGGAATCCGCAATGAATATTTCAAATTGTGGCTTACACAATCACTGAAGTATTCTAAAATAAAAACATTTTAAAAATCTGCGACATAAATTTTCATGTATAGGCTTCATGTGGCTTACACGACCTATTTTAATATTTTAAATATTTAATTACCTTTCCTGACAACTAATGGTGAACAGATATCAGGCCCTCGTCTCTGTGATTGTAAGATTTGGCATTTTTACCCGTAACCTTTCACCGCAAGTATATAATATTCAGCCTTGATGTATACAATAAATGAGCTTGTTCTCTGAAATGCAAAATTCTAGCAAAAAAACATTTGTCGACGGAGTTTATTGTTTGTTCCGTCAAAATTTCTGCTCATTCTCAAGCTGTTGAAAAGATTTCAGCAAGTTTTGTGTAAGACCATGTAATTGTGCAGTCTGCAGCCTATGTGCCGTTCCAAACAACCTTTCAATAATGCTTCTCCGTGAATTCCAATGCAACCATACCGATCTGTCGCCTGTGTCGTTAAATAACGTGCGTTTGGAAAGTTATGTCTATCAACAAATTACAAAAGAAACTATTCAAGACAGCATTGAATTCAATGAGAGTTATCAATGCACATAAATATTAATGATATGCCCTTAATTGATCTAAATAAGAGAGAACCGGTCAATATAAAAAGATTCTGGACATCATGACCTTGCACGTGCCAGACATGTATAGCAGAGTAATAGTTTGATAATATAAAGTTCAATCTTTCATTGCCTCCACATAATAATTCTCTCTCTCTGCCTGTTTAAAGTTGAGCTGGAAGTCCAGGTGAACTCCTGAATTATTTGTCAGCCTCACACTAAGAGTCGGCCTCATACTAAAACTAAGCCGTTTAAAGCATGAAGGAAACCAAGCTTTTATTCGGTGTTGTACGCTTTACTTGGTCCACATTCTTGACTTACTTTTTTTCATCATCTAATTACTACAGGTGCACTTAATCAGTTGTAATTAGTGTTGCAATTATTAATTAAGACAATGAATACTTCTACACCTCCGCTTATAACTTTCATTTACTGAAAAAATCATGCCTTAATAATGACTGGAGCTCCAGTCATTATTAACGACTCGTATTAAACTGCACATGGAGCATATTAGAAGCTTCTACAAAGCAAAAAAACGAGAAGCCAGGGTATCATGTAACCATTGATAATGTATAACTTTCCAAAGCTTTAGTCTTATTTGTGTGCCCAGTTATGCAGCACTGCTAGAATTGTGTCGGTTCGTTTGGTGTGAGAGAGAGAGGGAGAGGGGGATTGTAAACACAGATCCTTACTCCTTACACATAAACCCCTTGATTGGATGTGATGCGTTTGTCCCGGGATCGAAGACCCTCCGATATTTTGGTTTGTGAGTTTTTGGAGTTTCCGTGGTGTTTTTATTGTTGTAGCCTGCTGCACACACACTGCACGTACACTGTGAGGTGTTGTGCCAACAAATAACCGTTTAGATGTAAACCATTTGTTAATAGAAGGGATCATTGAGATTGTGAACTGTACTACATCTCTCAGCATTACCTTTCGTCTAATATTTCTTTATTCTGTCGTCATGATAACAACAGTATCTTTCTTTATTCCGTCGTCATGATAACAATATTATCTTTAATCTTTCTTTATTCTGTCGTCATGATGACAACTATTTCTTTTTCCTTGCGTTGTACCGATTATAATATTGCAAATTCCTAGGTTATTTCACCCTTTTATTGTTGTAGCCTACGCACCGTCAGGCTTTGTGCGAAACAACAACGGTGGAGTGTGTAGACATGTACATTATCAATACTTTACTAAGATCAATACTATCATAACATTTCCTTAACCCTTCATACTGCGGTCATGAAGACAACCTAATTCCTTTGACCATTTTATTTCTCTAGTCATGGCGACAACCTTATAAGCTTACTCTATACTGTAGTCATGACGACAACCTTTTATCCTTACTATATACTGTAGTCATGACGACAACCTTTTATCCTTACTATATACTGTAGTCATGACGACAACCTTTTATCCTTACTCTATACTGTAGTCATGACGACAACCTTTTATCCTTACTCTATACTGTAGTCATGGCGACAACCTTTTATCCTTACTCTATACTGTAGTCATGGCGACAACCTTATAAGCTTACTCTATACTGTAGTCATGACGACAACCTTTTATCCTTACTATATACTGTAGTCATGACGACAACCTTTTATCCTTACTATATACTGTAGTCATGACGACAACCTTTTATCCTTACTCTATACTGTAGTCATGACGACGCTCCTTATCTTTCTATCATCATCATGACAGTCCTTACCTTTATGGTAGTCATAAAGACGCTGATTTCTGTTAGCTTTGTCATCACTTACGTTAAACTTGGTTTCAGGAAGAAAACGAGGACGACGTTGGTTCCGATTCTGAGAATCTAGAGGTTTCCTGTCCTGTGGAACCTGAGGAGGCAGGCTATCAGTACAGACGTTAGTTCTTCTTATCACGACAAATTTACTTCTGTATTTCAATAATATGTAGTTGTAGCTTCATTTTTACGATGTTAGCGTCACTTCATTTTGAAATTACACTTCGTTTTGTCAGATTCGTCTCTTTGAATTTGCGTAGACTGTGTGTGATATAATGCTTGCAGCATTTTTTCAAATATCTCCCTCACACTGTATATCCTACATACCTAACAAACAAAGCTAATTTTTCTAACACTATTTTAATTCTCGGATTATTATGAAGTGTAAACTGTATTGCACAAATAAGCGATATAATGATATTTACTATCAGCAACTAGCGAATGATTTAATACTTTAATTCTACAAATTGATGACATGACAACGTAATTACCAGAGACTAGGCCTATACGATTTAACATGAAATATTGACTTATATAAGTTAAAAACTATTATACTAATTGATCGCTTCCGTTTGAGCTTTTCAGTAAATATTTTAGCGCCTTTTTTTTCCGGAGTGTTTGGAACGTGATACAGTAAATTTTTAGATAATATTAAGAGACAAGCAGCTAGCACATCATCCTAAATATTTAGACAATTATATCTGGGTATTTATTTTACCGCAGAATGCACTTTTTCTGTCACACTAACGTCACAGTATTAACATTTAACCCCAACTATCACACAAACGTCACAAACCCCAATTGATCATGAATTTCAAGATATCATGTCCTAATGATATGCATAATATGGTGATCATGTTATCATGGTTATGATCCAAATAATTTACCCCGATTTATTTCAGTGCGGAATCAAGATGACGTGTGTCAGGAACCTGATGGCAACATCCAGAGTAAGTCAGAACTGTCATCTATTATTATTTAGTGTAATTTGTAGGGACGGAGAATTAGAGTTAAGGAGTTAAACAGTTAAGAACTGTCGTATAATTTAGGACTCTCGCATAAATGCGATTAGATTTGTTTTATATATTATATATAATATATTATATATATTTTATATATATATATATATTAGTGCGATTTAATCTTTAAAATTTAAATAACTATAAACTACAACAAATACTTGGAAATTTGGAATCCGATACTGGCCTCAGTCTTTGCATATTTGCGTTGCATGATCAGGCTTTCACGACGAAAGTATGAAGCTTCTTGGAAATTTAGCACTCAATTACAGGTACTTGGAGTACCAATCACCAGATATTCCAAGTAATTTAAGTTATGAGAATTAGCCAAATAAAGGTTAAACATAGTAGAAGACCCACATACGGTAATCACTAATATTAATTAAGTAACGTAGAAGATTAGAACCTTTCTAGAAACAGTAAAACTAAATTACACATAAATCCCTTACTCCTGTTAAATAGAAACAGTAAAACCTCTCTATACCGCGCCGCTCCATACATTGGACCTTATTTCGCCGTTCTCCTCCCAATTTGTAGCACGTTTTTGGCCAATCATGTGATTTATCAGAGCTCACTTCTTTTTCAAGTAACGAGACCAAATTTTGATCATTTTGACGAAAATGTGAACAAACCGACACCGAGTTTATTTGACGATTTAACTATTAAAACATAGGAGTTTTATTAAATAATATTGAATTATCCATCATTGCTGAACATGTCATAGACATTTCCATTTAGACAATAGACATACCTGTATATCTAATGTCTATCTAGTTTTTTTTCTTCTCATAAAAGGTTAGGCTTCTGACAAAATAGTAGGAATATAGGGACCACACTGCAGACTAATGGTCGACAAAGAATAGTCTATTTGTGTGTCTGATAATAGATATTATGTTTTAATGATCATATCAGTAATAATGATATTAGTAATGATTATATCCCTACAAAGCTATAACATATCTAGTAATGATCACATCCCTACAGGTGTATTGTCAAGTTTGCAGTCCCGGAGGGGTGCAGTACACACAGCAGTTATCATTGCAGATCCTAAGGACAAATTCAAGATGCCATTCTTCTCCAAGCGGAAGAATGTGAGTTTAATATAGCCGCGTGCTGCAGGGAGCTATAACTAGTGCAGGGAGCTACTAGTCATGGTCCGGACTGTGTTGAAATACTCCGGAGTTGATAAACACCTCGCTGTGCGTGAGGGACCTGCGCTCTATCGCCCCGCTTATATATTATGAGCATGTATTACATATCATTATGTTTTATATATTCACGTTATGTTTTTATTGGAAACATCCAGCCTACTCATGAGTTTATAGTAACGTTTGGTGTACGTGACGGGATTGTATATCCGTGGTGCTGCACTTAATGGTAACATTATAACGTATAATAAATACATGCCTAACAAGCCAAATGTTGTGAACACCACATGGGGGGTTGTCATGGTGACTAACCACTCTCTCTCTCTCTAGGACAGGAAGTGGAGTAAGACTGAACTTAACTCTGTTTTAAGCGAATCTTCTAACGATAGAACGCACCCACTCGCCGATCTAATGGTACAGAAAATACTTCCAGCTCAATACTTTAACAGCATGTTCTCAAAATTCTTGTCTGCTGTAGATGCTTTGAATATTCAAAAATTTCGTAATTTATCTTTTCATACAAGTACAATGCATGAGGGGACAAGCAATGCCCAAGTATAGTATAATGAAAAATTATGGTTTTTTTCGTAATAAAGATTTTCGTCAAAGCCGGATCACGGGTGGTGGTACCCTGGTAGTGTCTCTCAAGTTGTCTCCTGTCTTTAACCCAGTATTGTCAAGTTGTCTCCTGTCTCTAACCCAGTATTGTCTCTCAAGTTGTCTCCTGTCTCTAACCCAGTATTGTCTCTCAAGTTGTCTCCTGTCTCTAACCCAGTATTGTCCCTCAAGTTGTCTCCTGTCTCTAACCCAGTATTGTCAAGTTGTCTCCTGTCTCTAACCCAGTATTATCAAGTTGTCTCCTGTCTCTAACCCAGTATTGACAAGTTGTCTCCTGTCTCTAATCCAGTATTGTCAAGTTGTCTCCTGTCTCCAACCCAGTATTGTCTCCCAGATGTCTCATTGGTCCGAGTTGATGGAGGACAGACCTCACATAGACAGTGTTGAGTACAAGCACAGAGACGCACTCTGGGGCCTCTTCCGAGCTGAGCTGGTGTACTTGATAGATCAACTCAAGATTATCAGAGATGTGAGTTACTGTAGTGTTACAGAAGTGTAACAGTTGTAACACTGGTGTTACACAAGTGTAACAGTTGTTACAGTGGTGTTATGCCAGTGGTACTGATCTGCTTTTTACCTTGTTTTAGTTTTTTATATTTTTTTTGTGCCAAAATGATTCAATTATTAATTGTCAATAGTTCTTTTTATATTGAAAAAATAATTTACAGGTTTTTCAAGGAACACTGAAGATAACAAATAATTTTACAGGTGTTTCAAGGAACACTGAAGATAGCAAAAGATAACGGAATGTTATGCGACATAGACGAGAGTCTGCTATTTCCCAATGTCAACAAGTTATACAAGGTTCATTATTATTATCAACTTACTGAACTTGTTTTTATAGTTATATTACACGTACGCGTACTAAGAATGTTTATGTACATTTTCTCGTAAAATTCCCGATTTCAAACAAGGAAATTTCAATAAATATTAGAATATTAGGAATAATCAATAAACAGGGTGTACAATGTGAACCTTATTTTCAGGTTAGCAATGCTTTCTCTCTGGACCTCTACAAAATGTTCAAAGAAGGAAACGCTAGTGATGAGGCTGTAGTTGAGGCATTGCAAGAGGTAAAATTATCTTATAGTCGCCATAGCTCCTCTTTTTAGTGGTTTAATTCATCTTCATAATATAATATATATATATGATATAGTATATACACTTCACCCAAATTCCATTGTTTTAATCTGCGAAAACAGTGAAATAATTTAAAATGTAGGTACCATTTGATCTTTTTTCAAGAGTTTGGTGACCTGCCAATCGTTGCTTGTCGAACGTTTACAATGAAGTGTTAGTCAAACCACTTTAATTCTCATAGTCAAAGTAACTTAAATTTGATACCGCATATATACCATATTTGGTTAATTATCAAATCAAAATATTGCGATCTCGTTATAAATAAACTACTTTACTCATACGGTCAAGTAATCAATATTCTAGGTGGAAGCAAGGAAGTATTTAGAAAGGAAACATGACGAATAATACTTTAGATAATTCAGCACAATAATTATCTCTTATAATCGTACTGGAGTCTGTTTTAAACAGGATGTTTTCAGTTCTCCAAGAAGTTTCATCACCCTTACCAGCGGTACTGCTTGAACTACACTAGAGCTGTTAAATACCTTAAAACTCTCAAAAAGGAAAGAAGCGATTTTAGGGAGTATGAAAAGGTGAGATGAATATCAATTTAGATATTCTATTTCAGGATACTAGAAACATTCCTTTTTGGGCATATTATTAAAACTGCTTGTCTCGAGGGAATCAAGTTTCTTATCACCAACTTTTTCATGGCATGTGACCGTTCTGAACCAATGATACTAAATTCCACTTATTAATTTAGCCAAAGCGGGACACTTTCTACCTACATTTACTTCTTACCTTATCTTCAGTTATGCTTGGAGGATTCAAGATGCAAGAAGCGTCAACTCTCGGACCTGCTTATCTGCCCGATGCAGCATCTCATGAGATACGTCATACTCCTGCAGGTACATACTAACATACCGTACTAACATACCATACGTCATACTCCTGCAGGTACATACTAACATACCGTCTGCTGCTTAATTAGTATAGTCTCTTTCTTTTAATCTAGAAGTTTCTGTGTCTGATTCTTTAAGTCTATTTTAAATTAATTCAGCTACTGACGAGTTGCGTGGTTCCGTTAAGTATTTGGATCTGCACATTCATTGGCTTTAATTTTTGGGCTCATATGAAAGTAGGTATCATTCAATCATAAATATACAATGTAATAATAATTAGATAATTAATTCGCAGGATATACAGAAACATGTGCCTGAAGATGGCCGGGACGATTTGCGTGAAACTATTGAAGCTATTCAGGAATCCTTACGTAAGAGATCTCCAATTCTTCAGATTTTACGTATTAATGTCATTGGCGCCTGTAATGATCGTTTTCAACTACTCTTTCAGTTTTCATTAAATTACGGTGTCGCTGAATATTTTCTTCAGGTTAACATTAAAATTAATCTCGTTAATAAACGATAACACAAACCTCGCTCAGGCTCGTTGGAGTCGAAGCTGGCAACGCTTCAAAACTTCCAGAGACTTCAGGAATTGGACAACATCCTTATTTGGCCTAAAATTGATACTATCGACAAATCGATAGTTATACCTGAGGAACTAAAGGAGATAATATCAGAAGATCAGTCGACACTCTGTTCAGATGGGAGACATATCCTACACGCTGGTGCTTTATTGTTACTCGGTCAGTTGCAGTCTTGTCTCAATAGCAAATCATGAGAAATTCTTCAATTATCAAGTTTTCATGGGAAGTTTTCTGTATCATCTACGTTCAATCTTATTTACGTTATTATTTTCAGAGAACCCGAAATCTTCTGAGACGTATTGCTTTCTGTTTAACGATATGCTACTCATAGCCAGAACTAATTCAACTATGCGAAAAGTTAGTGACGTACTTTACCTCTATTTTGATTAAATCTTCCATCCTAACGACAATTAACTATGACATTAACTTAAAAAGGGACTATTTCATGAATATTCTAAGGGTCCTTTTCGGTGCTTCTTATTCAATTACTAACAATGAAAATCGATTAAGACCCTACGATTACGCAGATTAATTTTACTCATCAGCCTCCACGTCGTAACGCAACCCTGAAACCCTCTAGTAACCCTCTCTGAGCGGTACATCAGAAAACTAACATTAACCCTAAACCTAACCCTAAAGTTAAACCTAACCTTAACCTTAACCCTAAACCTAACCTTAACCCTAAACCTAACCTTAACCCTAAACCTAACCTTAACCCTAAACCTAACCTTAACCCTAACCTTAACCATAACCATAACCCTAACCTTAACCTTAACCTTAACCTTAACCCTAACCTTAACCTTAACCCTAACCTTAACCTTAACTTCTCTCAGCGGTATAACAGCAAATTAGAACAGCTGGTATCACCATCAAGTTCATCTGACGCATTCGACACGAGCGGAGGGCTGTACGATCCCGATCAGAGGTATATCGTGTATAAACAACCTATAGCACTGGACGAGACTAGAGTTCACGATATCACCACTTCTCCCGGTATGTGCAAATTTTATTTTCTGTCGAACCAATTAATCAGCTCTCGTTGATTTTAGCTATCTCAATGATTCAAATTTTGTTTAATTTTAAATACAAGTGAAAATTCGTTACATACCAAAATGTTAATGAAGGTATGAATTGTGATTTAAACTTTCTACAATTTCCAGGTGGATGTAGGCACTGTTTCGCAGTAACTACTTATAACCGATTAAAATGTTGCACTGGACTTTATACTTTTAACGCCGTTTCTGCCGACAACAAGCGACAATGGATCGAGAAACTCCGGAAAACGTCTGAAGATTTCCGTACGAGTAACCCAGCGACCCCCATAAACCGGCGTCCTCGAGTAGACAGTATGCACATAAATAACGGGGACAGTATCAGCCTTAACTCGGGTAACAGTAGTTTTAACGAGAACCCTGACACTCCAACTGGTCTGCCAGGCTCAAACAAGAAACCTGCTCATTCTCAGTCCTTTAAATCAAACAACTCAGTCTCAGTCCTGCAGAAGATTCCTAAGCGTTGCCGGTCGGCCTCATGAAGATTCAGAGCGATGTTGTTTATAGCCTAGCTGTGCTACTAGGTATTTGGTATAATTTCACAAGAGAGAGAGAGGTCGCTGATAGACTCAGAGCCTTTTGGTGCGGTGTCAGAATTTGTATTTTTGTACGACAATCATCAACGACCATGATCAATGGCGTCAACATCATCATCTCCTTTTACTTTTTTTACTAAACTATATTACTTTCACCTCGATGAGCTTTTATCTGATGTTCTTTTATATTCATGTTCAGTGTTCCCTGCAAAGGATCGGGATGACTCTTATACCCCTGGCAATTTACCTGTCCTCCACTGATAAACTGAAACATTAGTTCGCAATCAACAATTGAAAATCAACGTTCGTTGGTATAGCAGATTTTATTGAATTTCTACTTTTGAACCAAGCTGGTTTTTTGAAATGCTGGTTAATTATGTTTTCATTTTGGAACTGTTAATCGGATTCAGTCAGATCTTAACCAAAATAAATCATATTTTACAAATCTAGGTACTCAACATGACTTTATAAAATGCTATGCAATTGATTAGACACATGACAGTGCACATGAGGTCTGTCTGCTGTTTTTTCTTAAAATCACTTTCTCAAAGGTTACTGAATCTGGTTCTAACTTTTAAAAACGGTTGTATTGTAAATTTGTTTAATTTGTACTGTTTTTGAAAACTTAAACAGAATTTCAGCGAACGACTGAATGAGCTGGTTCATAATTTAAGTTTTACCGATTTGACATGAATTGTATTTGTAATTTTAAAATAACAACTTCCTATGTAATTGTTACAGACGATAATGCTATTGTTTCACTTTGTTGCCCTTTTCTTTCTAATTGATGTTAATAGCACGTACAATGTACAATTTACAATGTACAATGTACAATGTACATGACCTTAAGCTCACTTCCAAACCTTTAAAAACTCTGCTGGCGATATATCTTACAAATCATTTTGCAACCGAACATTTTCAAAGTAAGTTTACACATTCTATTTGTGGAACTGCTGATTTTGTATTAATGCTTTTCATGCAAACAAGTGAAAACGAATCTTTTATGTCATGTTTCCAGGGTTTGGACTTTTCTGTCAAACGAAAGAATCGTGCATAGATTTATTTATAAAATGTTTGCCTTGTGTGACGCCAGTTTAGTTTGATGAACCATGTCACTGCTTTCTAAGTTCATAATTCAAGGATAGCATTTTTGTAATGGTTTTTATTGCTTATCTAGTAGTAAACCTGCGATGGGGTGGCATGTGCCTCAATAAAAATATTACAATCATTTATTATTATATCAATTTATCGTTAAATATTTCAAAAATATCAATAACGTATGGTTTATCCTTCACACTTGGTAAAATATATAAAAATAAAGTTAATCTACACTAAAGAATAAATAATCTATATTATATAAATCAACAATATTAACTCCCCATCTTCTTGTAGTAATTTATCAAAGCGGTAGAAATCCAAGTAATTTTAGTACGCGGTGCGCAAGGAATTTCGTTTTTTTTTTAATGTGTAGGCAAGATAAGCCTAAGTGTGGCAGTGAAAATTGAAAAATAAGTTGCAGAATAAATTGCAGTGACTGACTGTCAAATGCATTATCGCAGTTAATTTATTTGACTGCACTAACGTTTAGACTTTAGGATTCTTACAGCTGTTATATTTTGCTAATATTTTGTTTAAAAGTTGTAAAGGACAAATTTCTCGTCCGTCCACGAAAGGTTTTCTAGGTCAAGTTTTTGTTTGTCCAGTAAGTAACGTACAATGTTGTCCTTGTATGAATTAATAAACTTATCTTGTAACTTAGGTACGTTGAAGGGAAGGATTTTGTTTATTTCGTTTATCGTGTTGTTATATAATCGTGGTCCTACGTTAGAGATGCTATAATCGGTGATCCGTAATCTGTTGAACTTAATTTCAAAATACTTTGGATTTCTCCTTTCCGTTTGTCTAAGCGGTGATTTTTCAAATATACTACAGATACCTTACAAGACATATTTATAACGTACGAAATGTGGCGGTTTTCCGAAAATTTCGCCATATTTTCGGACCGCCAAAATTTCGGTCGTCGTAATAGAATCCGTCGCATTATCTTTTAGCTTATTTCAATGACTGTGCCTTCACTGCTTTATTTTGTTTCTAAAAAGTAATATCAAGTAAAATAAATAAATAAATTCTGGCATCTTGGGACAAATTATCACCACACCAATGACGAATCGAATGTCAAGCAATACAGTTTAAATTTGCATTAAAATACATATATGTGCTAACATGAAAGTCTTACAGTCTTAATACAGACTAAGTTTGAACATGATTTTACCGAATTTCAGAAATTTCCTTACTGCTTACTGTCACAAAAAATGATGAAAAATACCCTTATTTTCTGTGACGTCCGAAATTTGACGGTTTTTGTTCAATTTCGCCGTATTTTCGGACCGCCAAAATTTCGGTCGTCGCAAATTGGTCCGCCACAAAAAAGTCTTGTAAGGTACTCGATGGTGCTACTCCCATATAAACCTTGTGCATCAAAGTTAGACAGCTTTTAGCAATGAGATTAGGAAGAGCCAAAATTCCTATTTTGTTGAAGATGGATTTTGTGTGAGATGGTAGTTTACGTTTTTCTTTGTCGTAAAAATAGTTATAATATTCTGAATCAGTGGCGCGAATAGCTTTCTTTTGAGCAGAGAATAAAGACTGAATGGAATTTAAAAATTTAGTACCCCAAACAGTAGCGCAGTAATACAGGTGAGATTGAATTAAACTATTGTATAGCATTTTTTGAGCTTTATTCGGAATGGAACTTTTAAGTTTCATCATTACGCCTGCATTTCTGGATATTATATTTTAGTCTTTAAGTTTAACTGTTTAATGTGCTGGCTCCAGCTAAGTTTTGAGTCAATAATGACACCTAAAAATCGTTCATTTTCACTTTTCACTAGTCGCTGTCCTTCTATACTAATATTTATATCCTCTGGTAATCTGTTAGTGAAACTGAATATCATGTATTTAGTTTTTCCTACATTAAGTTTAAGACCGTTGTTTTTAACCCATGTCTGTACAGTATTTAAAACTCAGTTCAGTTGACTAAAATTGATAAAGAAAAGTCATTCATATTAAACATCTTTTTACTTTAATTTAAGCTCTCACGAGTACAACTTACAATAAAACCATAAAATAATGAAAAATTTGATTCCCACTCATATTCATAAAGTTTTAAAATGTTAATGAACAAAAACATACCAAATTACAAAATCCCATTCTTCGATCGTCTCACAGAGCTACATTTACAATTTAATACTTTCCTGCTTAAAGAAAGAGCAATTCACAAATTGACAAAACCAGAAAAACCATCTCAACAGAGACAATGTTGCTTGAGTTAGGTTCACTTTCCTCTTCGTTCACCTCTTCATTCTTCTTTTCAACTTCTTCGCCACCCTCGTTGGAATCTGCCGGTTCTTCTTCCACTACTGGTTCTTCTTCCACTACTGGTTCTTCACCTTCTGCCAACTCCAAGTTGTCCAGAGGAGCGCTAGTGAGCTGTTCTCCCAAAACTCGGTGGGTGATTGGCCGACCGTTGAGAGGTTGGGTGTTCCTGAATGTTCGGTTAACATTATGATGTTGCCTCATTGTGCCCATTACTCCTGGTGTCAGTTTAATGGGTTCCTCAAGAACCATCCAGAAGACGTGCTCAGCACATCCTGGCGTTGTTAAACTTCCCTCGTAAGTGTAAACACTTGTTGTCTCCGTGGAGAAGAGTTGCGACAGGGGCACTGTCACTTCGTTGTTGATGACACCTCCGCTCACCAGATTTTTAATGACCTCGTTTTTCTCTGAACCGACCTGACTCGAATCCTCCTCAAGGAAAACTCCGAATACAGCGTAAAAATCGTCTGATAAGGGGTCGAGCTGGTCCAAGTTCCGGGTAACAAGGTGCATCTCACCCTGGAACTGTTTGCCGTAGAGATGGTGTTCAGCCCCGTTGCTGCTGTTGCTTCCCCAGTGAAAATGAATCTGAAGCAGCTGGAGACCATCTGTGTGACCCACCGGCCAGTCTTCAGGCATGACGACCAAGGGGCCATCTTTTACTCCATATTTAATAGAGCTGCTGTTAGTGTAAGTTAGCTGTACCTCTCCCAGGTCAGGAAGGGAGCTACTGTGGAGAACTGTATCCTCAATCAGGTCAATGTCTATTGGAGACTGCTGTTCACCTGACTGACAAAGCTCTGGCCAGCTACTTTGATCAAAGTAACTGTACTGGGTCTGATCGCCGATTGTAATACTGATAAGGGACATGGCAGTCAGGAGAAGTAGCCAAGAAGGTACGTTCGATGCCATTTCCTGGAAAACATATTTTTTGTGAACGTGATCCGAACGAAAATATTTTAATTATAGTCCTTAAAATAGGCCTCGGTGATATCTGTTGTCGGTTATGATAACACAAAAGCGATTAGTGTTTTACATTCCCTAAGAAACAACTTTTGGCTTGACACGTTCGATTTCAAGCCGCTTGTCGATCAGCATTCGGCAATCGACAATGGTCAGATGGGCCAAAATTTCGAAACTGAGTGATGGCGCAGTAATTCAAATGGTTGGCTTGGAGCTTTAACATGATATAATTTGCAGGGAAAAATAGTAATAGTATATTCACAGCTTTAGTTTAATCGTGAATAAAATTGACAAAACTCATTCGTAGTCTTAAACGACACCATTAATTATTATATTTATATCAGTGTTGGGGAATATGAATTCAAAAGTTTTAGCAGTTTGAACGGCTTATTCGTCAAATATTAATAATACATATTTGACATATTTCTGATTAACAACGACGAATTTTTTTAAAGTACGAAAATTATAACCAGCGAAATTGCTCTCATACATCATAGCCACGATGCCATGCAGTACAAACTACAATTACAAAAAATATAGTGAGATTTAAAAGCAACGATGTAATAGCACTAAAACTAAAAGAATTTAGCGATAAGAACAATACCACATTTTGAAAGATAACAAGTAAATTATTTTAGCTGTTGCAAGGTTAAGATTGTAATCTAAGTTTTATCAGTTGCTTGTTATCACTCAGTTAATAAATCACATTTTTGAGCTGTGCAGTCCGCTTAAATGTGTTTTGTGATATATGAATGGCGGTGAACATACTGCAATATTGGGCACGAAATAATTTGTAATTGTCTGCAGAACAGTAATCGTTTTAATTAAATATCACCAATGTTATAGCCAAACGACAATTTAGTTTTACCTTTTCCCGCGTTTCTTGTCTTTTTTAAATTTTATCGACTTTGAAAGTCGGTTGAAAAGTCGGTTGAAACAGAAATCGAAAAATGAAGAAACGTCAGTTGCAATTATTAGTAACTAATAGGTAATATTCGACAAAATAGAACAATATAATGTAATTAATGTAATTCAAACTATAGTAAACTGTACAACTCAGTTCAAATTCAGTTCACATTAACTTGTTAACGGATGATACTCGTAAAATATTTGTTCCAAATATTAGACCGTCGACGGACGAGTCCAACTCCAACTCGGTGTGCGTCTGGTAGGTTATAAACCTACAAACAACTTGAAAATGAAATGTTAAAAACTGAGAACACAACAATTTAAAAATTAGCGGTTAAGATTTTTATAAAGTGATACCGTTTTCTATAGTTTTGATTGTCACACGTTGTAAACTCGCCGCACGCAAGTGCCCTTTCCGACCGAAACACTAAGTGAAATGAAAAAGGGGGTCACGACGTGATACAAAGTTTTGATAATTCTGCAATTGCCATATCAGTATGCAAGCTCTACATGCTATAAATATAAGTATAATTATAAGTATTACAGTAGTTCTCAATCCTGACCACCAATTTTAAATCAGCCGTGTGTACTATTGAACGAGTACCGTTGACCTTGTAGCTGCATTGTTATAAAATTATCTGAAGCTGGAGAGCATATTAGGTTTCAAAACATAGAACATATAAATGATAACGTCATTCAAAGTATAACATGTTTAGTATTATAGTGTACTAGCTGTGTAGGTGGTAGGTTGATGATGATATTAATCATAATCTGGATCATCACTTTACATGCGCTACTACCAGCTACACTGGACGATCACGTGACGTACTAAGTTTAACACGTTCTCTAAATGGCTTTGACGTTCACCTAACCATAGGGGGTGCACGATAAAAATAAACTTGCTCGGATTTTCAAAATGTTTGTACCATTGTTGTTTTCTAGAGACTGTGAGAATTTTTTGTCATACGTTGTATGACCCGCCGCGCATGAAGTGCGCGGCTCCCCCTGTATCGTCAGAACGATAAAGGGTATAACGGTGAAACGACCGTGGGGGTCGCAACGTGATACAAAGAATTTTCACAGTACCAAATTTGTTATACCTTTTTGGAAAGATCGGTGAGTTTCGCCTAGGTGCCATATTTGATCGTGCGCGGCATTTGAAGCAAAAGTAGGTGTAAAAGTCGCGTAATTTGACGAAATTTGTTGATTTTTGTTGTATTATTCTGTCATATCTTCATATGAGTCTAACACTATTATCGATAGTGACCGTGTGATAGAGGCGAGTAGATTGGTTGATCAGTTTGACCACCCAGCTGTGCTTTTAAGGAGACCTGAAAGTATCTTCTACGATCTAGTCAGAGAAACCGAAATGTTTGATGATTTGCTGGAACAAGCTTGTGCTAGTTTTGTGGATCAGTGAATAAAGAAAGTCTTACGGTTCTTTCATAAATCAACAGCATTTAAATTTAACCCGGTCAATTGATATGATGGGCCTAGATTCGGCGTCATGGTGCATGGATTTTGTTGTATTATTCTGTTATATCTTCATATGAGTCTCTAACATGTTCACAAACACCGTCACCAGTTTAATTGCAATGTAATGTTGATTGGGTGTGGCCCCCAAAAATCGTGACGGAATTTTGGTGACGGAATCATCGAACAAGTAGGTACAGTATGCCATTTGGAAGCAACAACTCTGAAATATAAAACACGGTGGTTGTATAAGACCCAACATAATGGGAACTGACTTTTACCCCCCCCCCCCCCCCCCCCCTTTCCCCCTACCTATAATGAAATCAAGGCTTAACGAAATTTCTAAGAAAATGCCCATATGGGCGTACTTACTTACTGACTAGGATTTTTTAGGCAAAATAATATAATTTGGAATCACATCTATTGTTGTTGATGTTGATGATTTGATCCTTGACTTCTGCAATAAAGCACTAGTTGATGGCGATGTTCCTGACCAATGGAAGTACCTAAACATCGTGCCTGTTCCAAAGAAAGGGAATTTGACCAAAGTAGATAACTATAGAGGTATTTCACTGACATCTATAGTGAGTAAGACTCTCAATAAGATGATACTGAACAGGATCACACCTGCCATGGAAGACATCTTAAGGATCAATCAGAACGGATTCAGAGAGAGTAGGTCAACAACTAGTCATATTCTTGGCCTAAGAATATGACTAGTTGTAATATGATTTCAAGAAGGCATTCGACATGGACAGCGTGCACCGTGGACTCCTCATGAAGATCCTCCTGGCATATGGAATTCCCAAGGAGATTGTAGGCTTGATACAAAGAATTTATGCAGATACATTTGCTCGTGTGATTACCGAGGATGGTCTGAGTGAAGCATTCTTCATTCTAGCAGGAGTGATGTAGGGAGACACTTTGGCGCCCTACCTATTCATAATCGTAATTGACTACATTATGAGGGTGTCCCTAGAGGGTAGGGACTTTTGGTTTACTCTACACCCTAGAAGAAGCCGTCGCTATCCGGCAGTCAAGGTCACTGATGCGGACTTTGCTGACGACCTTGCTCTTATAACAGATAGTGTTGCGGAGGCACAAGATTTCCTCAGGAGTCTGGAACTGGCAGCCAACTCAGTTGGACTCCACCTCAACATGGGAATCAACATAAGAGATGATGATAACCCGACTCTGGTTGCTGGGAGTGGGAAGAACATTGAGAAAGTCGATGACTTCGTATATTTGGGTAGTAGAATGAAGAGTTCGGAGAAGGACTTCGAAGTGAGGAAAGCTAAGGCATGGGGAGCGTGTGACCAGATGAAGCTTGTATGGAAGTCGGATATGCGTAGAGATCTCAAGATACGACTGTTCGTGGCTACAGTCGAGTCCATTCTTCTATATGGCTCTGAAACATGGACTGTCAGCCAGACCCTCGCAAAACGTATTGATGGATGTTATACGAGAATGCTGAGGATGGCACTGAACATTGACTGGAAAGAGCGGCAGACTAACGCCAAGGTGTATGGACACCTCATCAGAGCATCTGATAAGATAGCTGCACGGAGGATGAGACTCGCAGGTCATTTAGCCAGACATGAAGAACTATTGTGTCATCAACTTCTCTTCTGGGAACCCCTTCTAGGACATCGTCGAAGGGGAAGACTACATCTCACATACATTGACATCCTTCGGAAGGACACGGGGCTTGACGACAGCAAAGAGATTAACAAACTCATGCTGGATAGACAGATTTGGAAGAAGACTATTTCTGTTCGGACGCTGAAGCCGCCCTAAGTCGAGTAAGTCGAGACTATTGTTGTCTAAATCTTCCAGTCTATGACTATGCTATTGGCTATATAAAGTATATTCAATGTTTTCATCCTTGAGGTCCCATATATATCACTTTTGATAGTCCGGTACTCAGTCTGTGCTTAGGATTTTTGAAGTTTTGTCGGTGATTGTACCATCGTGTCTTGAAAGCTTTTCTCTTTTCAGATTGCTTCTCTAGGACTGATTTGTTGTGTCTTTTGAGTAGCCTTTCCAAACTGGGCATGCAGCAATAGCTTATTTTAACAGGAATTCCTATTGATGATTTTGTGTAACGGTAGGTTTTTCGGGAAATGCTAATCAATGAGGGCGAAGAACTTTCTTCCGATGTTGGTTGAAACGTTTGCGCTGAATTAATGGGGGATTGTACCATAGGATGTTCCTCTTCCGTGATCTCTTTCTCTTTCGTTGTGAGGGTTATGATGTTTGCCGAGCTGCCTCCAGAAACTCCTCTAGATTGTCACGACAGAGGAAAAAATGCGAAACCATCTCGAACGGCAATGTTGTTACCACGGGTGTCATAGAGTTAAGAAACGTTAAATTTAAGTACGATCCGAACCCTGAAGCTGAGAACATCCTTCACGATACTTATCCTTTATAACCCGGCAAAAAGAGAAGATTGGAATAGTGGTTCGAACGGATGCAGGTGAAAGCACCATACTGCACTACTGCAGGCTCTCTTCAGTATGGTTGAGCCAAAAGGAGAAATACTGTTGGATGGAATGTTGACTCGAGA